CTACGTAATATCAAAATTATTTTTTATTGTTGTGCTAGGTGTGGGTACATTGTAGCATTTGCAAAATTCTCACAAAACTTCTTTCCCTGACTCTGATGAATGTGATACTTGTGTGTCGTAGTCTAATAAATTTAATAAGTCTAAGTGCAGTAGATTAAATATTTAATTATTAATTATTTAGGGGTACTGTCTTCATCTTTGAAACATCTTCAGATCATATTTTAAAATGCCCTCTGAAGTCTGCTGTGTTGAAGGGAGTAGCTGATCACACATCCTTACACAGGGCACATGTCCTATGTGTGACATGTCACATGTCATTTAAGACATGCCCTGTGAGCATTCTTGGTTTCTTTTCTGAATGAAGAACAGAAATCTTGATATTTTAGCATCTCATTTTTGCAGCTCTTAAGTAACTAGTAGATTTTACTCCATAGCTATTCAACTCTAAAATAGAAAATAAGGCACGTTCTGTGGGATCCCGTGGTGAAAGCATTTCTTCTGAGCACAGGTGATTCATGCAAACATTGCTCAGATTTTTGCTCATGAAGGATCCAGAGGAAGCTCTTGCTTGGTGGTTGGAAGACAGCATCCGGTGCTCCCTGCATTCCTCCCGACATCCAGTGCTCGGTAAGAAAGGGCTTCCTAGTGGTTTGGTGCATAAGTTGCACCTTTTATTGTACTTAGGAATCCAGATATTTTTAGTAAGCGCTAAGAAGCTTTCAAAAGACATTTTTTTTCCCAAAAAGAGAAGCAGTGACTCAGGGGACTTGGGACGTTTTCTGTCAAAATCTCCCCTGGGCTGTTTCCACAGCTTGGCTGTGTGAACAGTGCTGCAATGGATATGGGTGTGCAGGTGTCTCTAGTGTATTCTGACTCACATTCCTTCTGGCGATGCCCAGGAGTGCTATGGCTGGATCATTTGGCGGTTCTATTTAGTTTTTAAAGGATCTCCGTACTGCTCTCTGTAGTGGTTCTATGTTCCCATCAGTGATGCATGAGGGCTCCTGTTTCCTCCCACACTTGCCAACACTTGCACCTATGTTTACTGCAGCACTGTTCACAACAGCTAAGCTATGGAAGCAACCCAGGTGCCCCACAACTGATGAGTGGATTAAGAAAATGTGGTATCTATACACAATGGAGTTTTATTCGACCATAAGGAAGAATGAAATTATGTCACTTGAAGGTAAACGTCATGTTAAGTGATGTAAGCCAGGTTCAGAAAGACAGGCTGCTTGTTTTCTCTCACATATGGAAGATAGATCCAAAAGGTAAATGTATACGCAAAAACAAACACGATCACACACATTTATATAGAGAACCTGTTTGTACCAGGGACTATTCCAAGGAACTCAGGGGAGGAGGGAGAGGAAAAGGGAACGAGTCAACAGTATCGAAGCGCATTGCATCCTGCAGGTAGATGATGTAACGAAATCCACTGAAAGCTGTCACATTATAGGGATGTGAGGGACAGTATATGGGAGAGTATTAGAAGAGGTTAAACTGACCAAAGTTACAGTACATTCACTGCTGGGATACATCGAAAAACTCCATTGAACACTGACTATGGAGGTAAAAATGAAAGGTGAGACTATAAGATCGATATCGAGTGGGGGGGGACTTGTGGGGGAGGAGGGTAAACTGAGGACACGAAGGTAAGAGGATGTGGTTGATGGGCTTAGTATTCATATATGAAATAGAATGGTCAAACCTCTTGCAACTGTTTTAAGTAGGGTGAGGAAGGGGTTGGGGGGGTGCAGAAATGATGGGGAGAACTAACCAATAAACTATGTAAGGCAATTTGGAATTGTCCCAATTCTGCAATGCAGAATATCAGTTTATCTTCCTTCTAGAAGCTTTCTGGAACAGTAGAAGAGTTTTTCAGAATTAGTTGTTTCCAAGGAAATAGAACCAGCTAGGAATTCCCAATTCACCCAGAAAGCTTCTCCTATTTGACAAAATTTTCTGATGTCTTTTTGGTTTTTTTGGTGGTAGTGGTGTTTGAACTTAGTGCTTTGGGTTTGCTAGGCAGATGCTGTACCATTTGAGCCAGGCCCCTAGACTTTTTTGATTCAATTATTTTTTCAGATAAGGTTTCTCAATTTTCCCTCAGAAGGTGCTCCTCCTACCCATGCCTCCTACATAGCTGGGATGGCAGGTATGCTTTACCAAGCCAGGCTTGTTGATTGAGATGGGCTCATGTAACTTTCTAATCCCCTAGGCTGGCCTCAAACTTCCATCTTCCTGATCTCTGCCTCTTGTGTAGCCGGGATTATAGACATGAGCCACCATGTCTGGTTTCTGATGTTTTAAAATATCATTTTTGTAATTACGTATCCCCATTTAAAAAAAAAAAAAAAACATGGGACCAGCAACCTGTCATGAACTACTGGGTCCTATCCAGAAGTAGACATCCAGGCTTTGTTTCCTAAATAAGTGAATATGAAGTTGTGTCAGTTAAGAAAGATGCTATCTTAACACAGTTTCGGGAAAACACTTGACTAAAATGGTAGAGATATTCTTCCACCAATTAAATAGTCCCTCCTAAGAAGAGTAAAGCCAGTGACATGGTATTTCAGAGATTGTTGCTACACGCTGGATATTAACCAAGATGCACACATGGAAAAATCTTCTGAAAGAGTAGCCTGGAGGCGCCCGGCATACTAGCAGGAGCAGCAGAGGTGCTGCAAGACACTCATGGAGAATCACAAAGATGTCACTAAAATCCTGCTTAGAAAACGAGGAAGGAAGGGCTTGATGTAGGAGACCCTGACTCTTGCATGCATCTGGTCCTGGGCAACAGATGTTGGAGAATGGTCACAGACGTAAACCCAGAGAAGAGCATGGGCTCTTAAGCCAGACTGCCTGCTTTCGCCATCTTCCATGTGACTTTAGAAAAATTACCTGTCTTCTCTGTGCCTCAGTTTCCTCATCTGCAAAACAATAGCATTTCCTTTATAGGATTCATAAGAAGAGTCATGAGTTAATGTCTGATCGTCAGATACATGGACAGGCACCTGGCACTCCAAAGAACTCATTACCTGACTAAATGTCATGCATGCTCCCCGCACCTCACTGTCTTGGATCACTCTGTCATCTGTAGAAAGCAAGCTGGCTCCCACAGCACCTGCACCAGAGGATTTCTCATTTCCAGATCATCCTGGCCAAAGCTGGAGAAGAGAAAAAACTCTTCTTTTAAGGGGCTGTCCTGCTTTGCAACTCGCCAAGACATTGCTTTAGGAAGCAACAAGGAACAATCCTAGTATTCTTCTCCACACTAAGGTTTCTTCTCCCTCCTCCCCTCCTCCTCCTCCTTCTTCTTTCTCTTCCTCTTCTTCTTATTTTGTCTTCTCCCCTTCTCCTCCTCCTCCTCTTCCTCCTCCTCTTCCTCCCCTTCTGCTCCTCCTCCTCTTTTTCTTCTTTCACCTCCAGTTCCTCCTTATCACCATCATCACCATCCTCTTCTTCCCCCTCCTCTTCCTTCTCTTCCTCCTCCTTCTTGCCTGTACATTCACTGTGGAAAACTCCTTTTGCTAATACCTAGCTCTAGAGATCTAGTAATGGGTTTTGAAATGGGTCTGTCACAATTTTTGTGTTTTAGCACCATCCCTTTGATTCTAGTCTGAGATTCCCTTGTGCAGGCTCAGGTGTTGGTTTAGAATTGAACCCGAACGATAATGAACCTTGCTGCTTTCCCATGACTGTTCTGTGCCTAAGGGCCACACGCCATGTTCTGCTGTGTTTCATTCTCTTCTGACCTCAGGAGAAGTCTGGATGAGAGGCAAGTGGTGCTGGAGCAAAGCATCTGTGGCTATGGAGATAGAATGAGCCAGCTCTCTCCTCCTTACCTCCCCAGGACTGCCTTCTGATTTCCAGAATTTCAGGCTGGGAGTGTGGCTCAAGTAGTAGACCACCTGCTTAGCAGGTGCAAGACCCTGAGTTCAAACCCCGATATCGCAAAAAAAAAGTTCTGATTTCCAGAATATTGTAATAGCCAAAAATACTGGTGTCTTAGACTGGAGGATGGCTCAAGGGATAGAGTGGCTCCTGAGTTCAAACCCCTGTCCCCCCAAAAAAATAATACCAGAGTCTGCAATGTTTAGATATTAAGCATCACTGACTGCTGGCAGAAAAGAGGTGCCCACGGTAGCAGAACCCACTCATTTATTGGACTGAGGCTGAAGTGGGAGTGAGTTTTCAGGGACCATAGCAAATCTGGGGAGTAGCCAGTCCAATTTTGTGTTCTAATGCTTGCCCACAAAGACCAGGAATCCTTTCACCTTTGTGGGCTCAGGTCTAACAGTGTGCAGTGCACAGTTGGGTGAAATTCTTTCCTTCACTTCCACAACCTAGATAGAGCATAGCTAGCTACCCTGGTGAGGTTGCAGGAATTCTTTGGCACAGCTAGCCAGCCTCTGCCAGGCTAGTTCAGTGTTTTAGTGGCCATCTCTTGCAACAACTATGCTTTGCCACAATTTCTGTCTTAGTGCATTCTAGGTCTCCATTACACTGACTAGGAACAAATGATCTGAGTAGGCCTCTGTCCTTGGGTTAATGCATTGTGGACACGATGGGTCGTGCTGTCCTAATAATTGGCATTTGCCTATTAATTGTGTGCATAGCTGGGGAAGGGGCTCCTGGAACAGAGGTGAAGCTTGAGAAAACTCTATTTCTTGGAGAGCATCCTTTATGGAGAAAAATTAAATGAAGACAAAATGCAGGATATGGGAAGAGTGTGTAATCACAGAGGGCACAGGGCAAGGGGACTTTGGATTCTCCCTGTACCACCCAGAGGTGTGGTCCCTACACATCAGTCCATGCCCCTGATGCTTTATACCATAGTCCTCTGAATTCAGATGTTCCCAGCCAACCTCCTTGCTGCAGGACCTCAAGGAGGGAGGTTTGGGGCAGTGCTCTTTCCACCTGGCCATGGCTTTAGTGCCCTGACATTGCTGCTGCATGTGTGTGCCACTATCTTTGTTATCCTCTTTCTCCCATAGGTAATCCACCAGCTGAGGCTCTCAGAGAATGAAAGTGTGGCTCTGCAGGAGCTCCTGGACTGGAGGCGGAAGCTGTGTGAAGAAAGAGAAGACTGGCAACACATCCTGCAACACACAGAGCCCCGCGCACCCCCACCTCCTCCCTGCAGGAAACCCGCACTCCTGAAGAAGCCAGAAGGAGCCTCCTGCAGCAGGCTGCCTTCCGAGCTCTGGGACAGCACCATCTGATGTGGCCTGGACACGGGCACACAGCAGAGTTCTGGGGACTGCAGGCGTCATCAGCAGAAGGCTGCCTCTGAGACCTGCTGTCTTTTATCTCTTCATGCATTTACACAAAAGCACAGGACTGTGTGTGTGCTTGTGTGTGTGTGTGTCTGTTCCTTTTGATCCATGTCATGGCTACACTGATCGTCAGGCTGTCTCAGTTGCACAGTGTCAGGGAGAAGTACAGGTGAGGTGAGGGAAGAGAAGGACAGCTGCAACTCTGCACAGGGGTCACAGCACTGACCAGTCTGGCCATGGTCCTGCTGTCATGCAGTGTACAAGATGAGGGTTTTATTTCTTTGTAGGTGTTTATGTATCATTGGAGTTACAAACCTGATAATCATTTACATGATTGTTACTGTGTTTTATAACTTGATGCAATTGGTGGTGCTCCCTTTCTTCAAAGTACAGATTTTCAAAAGTCATTTCTTGGTTTTGCTCCTCCACACACCTTTTTTTTTAACCTAAGATACCTGAAAGCCTGGAGGCTGTGTTGTTGCTTAGCTTTGCCTGTCCCCTACAGGAGTATGGGCTGGTCCCCCAGTTAGGCTTGGCTCAGCTGGGAGGCTGCTCTGTCCTGTGCCCTGTATTTCTTCTGGGTAAGTGGCTTTCATGCTCCTTAGTTAAGCTCCACTCTCCAGGTTCAGCATAGGTTACAGGATATTTGCAACATTCAGTGAAACACTGATGGGCTCAAGTTCACAGCTGGTGGTGCAAGAGGGTCACCTAGAGCCCAGGTCTCAAAAGTCCAAACAAGTAGGATAAACCTCGCTGGCTGGAGGGCAGTGTGCATTACCTGACACTGCCTCTCCAGGCACGCTGCATGATCCCCACTGGTCCCCACCCTGCTCTAGTGTGCTCCTTGCTTATCCTCACCATGTGCTTTCACCACTGCCATAAGCTCCGAGCACTGGCTCTAGACCATCCTGTCTTGCTACTTGGAACTTTTATCCATACCAGCCTTTGAAAAGTTGCTGTGTCAATAAAAGGGTGCAACTCTGCTCTTCTGTCCTTTCATTCACTTGATGGTGGGTCTGTCTTCCAGGAACACCTGTGCTTTCTAACCAGCGATGTGGGGGAAATAGAGGAAGGAGCTCAACCACAGTATGTTGTCTTCAAAGCAGTTTGTAAGCCTCAGAAGCTGTATGATTATTTTGACCTCAGATATCCCAACTGCCATCAAAAGATACTTTGCTGTGCTTAAAAATCCTGAGAGAAGTGGGCCTGTCACACCACATGTGGGGATACAGCAGAGCCAGGTGAAGCCATTGTGCAGGCTGAGGCAGGGTACAGGCACAGAACCTGCTGCTATAGCAAAATCTGGAGGTTCCACGTGCAGCTGGCCCTAGCTGTCTACTACCTGGTCTGGGGTGATTTGGGCAGGCAGACAGTGGCCTTGAATGAGGGCCCTGTGAGCTGATGAAAGATGTGGTTGTGTTGCGGGCTCTGGATTGACTGCCTTGCATTTGAGAAGCAGAGGATGTCTAGTAATTGACTGACTCCGGGGACAGCACTCCCTCCAGCATCAGGAGGACCCTGGATGTCAGAGCATCAGAAGGACCATAGACAAAGACACAGCTGATACATGGTTACACCTGTCCTCCAACAATCACAAGGAAGCAGGGGGCCTGCCTGGTCCCCAGTCAGACAATAGCTAGCCCCGGTCCTGCCTGTCTCTCTACCATCTCCCTTCCTTCTGACTTTCTGAACTCTGCCCAGTCAACTTTCACCACCACAGGGCTTCCTAGGCCAAGCCCTGCACTTAAGGATGTGGGTGAAGGTGAGAGTTTGGGTGGCACCTCACTTCATAAACTTATTAGGCCAGAGAGGAACTCAAGCTGCCCAGCCATCACTCTTGCATGTGCTTGCTGTGACTATGCTAGGTGTGTGTGGCCTATTGTTCCAAAAATGGACTGTCCAGTTCAGGCTGATACCTGTGAGCAGTTGGCTTGCACAACATCTATTCTCAGAGCTCAAGAGGGTGGCCAGGGAGGCCAAGGCAATGCTCCCCCAGGTGGTGTCTGGTGAGGGTCTGCTTCCTGGTCTTCTGATAGCCATCTTCTCACTATAAGCTCACACGACAGAGAAAAGAACGCAAGCTTTCTGGAGTCTCCTTTATGAAGGTGCCAACGCCATAATGAGGAGGTCACTCTTGTGACCTATTGACTTCCCAAAGGCCTCCCAAAACACTCCCACACAGGAGACTACGTTTGCACAAAGTAATTTGGGGTATACCCAAACACTCAGTTCACAGCACTGACATATGCCTACAGGGTAATTATCTTTGTAGTGACACTGAAATAAAAACTCAGAGTTTTAAAGTTGCCCATCAGAATGTAAATCCTGGTCTTTATGAAACAAACATGCTTTTAGCTTGATAGACATTGTTAACTTCTTATATCTAAAGATGTCCTTAAAAATTCCAAATCGAGTGACCATTTTTGGATACACAGTTGTGTGAAACTATGGTGCAGGACCACTATGGGGAGGCCTTACATGAACAAAGGCCCAAACTCCCCATGGGTCCAAACCACACTGCTTGTACAGCCAAGCATCACGTTAAGGCCTATGAGGGCATTAGGGAGGTCTGACCATCACCCATGAACCTTTTCTAGCTAATCTGTCTAGAGATTCCTCATTGGACTTCAGAGGCTGGAAGACAAACCCTTGTCAGCTCTCAACCGTGATCTCTTGGCTCAGAGGGTAAGGCCATCTATGCTTAGGTTTCTGCTCCTCCACCATGGAGAGAGATTGCAGCTGTGCTCCTCACTGCTGTAGTACTATCTGACTGGACCTGAGACAAGGGTCAGCAGAGACTCGATAGCACGGACACCCCGGAACCTGCAACAGTACCCATCATCACACTGATCAGAGGTAAAGTCCGGGTCCTTGTGTGCATCGAACTCGCCCTGATTGGTTTTCTAGTGAGTGTTCCTTTGTGAGAATGTAGACAGAGGCGCTATTCTGGGGAAGAAAGCTCTGAATATTATTCTGCATAAGCAAAATTCTGACAGCTATGTATGTTTGCAAAAAAAAAAAATCATGTTTTAATGGCCATCAGACCATAAGGTATGAATTATGCTGTACTATTAGACCTGCAACCTCTGTTTAGCCATGTAATTGGTATGAATTATTACCGTGTTCAAACACTGCCTCCTCTATTGCTTTTTTAAAAAATTATTTATGAGAGGGCTCTAAAAACCACTATCAAAATGTTTATAGCAGGTTAAAATTACTTAGAATATATTTTCCAGGATGGAAAAAAATAGACCATTACTATTCTTAAATAGTGGTATCTAATTTAGCAGACTTATGATTGTGTAAATCTATGCAATAAAAGTAACAACCAATTAAAATCTGAGATTTGTGAATAGACTTTGCATGTAAACATTACACATTGGAACAAATACATATTAAATTCCATAGCGTGGAAAGATGGAAAACCTCACTCTAGATTCTATTGCTGTCAGTTTCCAGTTAGACTTCAAATTCAACTCAAATCTCAACAGAGTTCCTGAGGAAACTAAATAATGACATTCTGCAGGATGCTTTCATTCCTGACCATTACCCTGAACTGTTAATTCCCTCTCCCCAACTTTTAGCTGTATTTTTTTTTAGTGAGAAGACATTGATTTCAATTTTAGTTCTCACCAGGAAGTTTTCAATTAAAAAACACTCTTTCATTAACTGTGTTCCAAGTAAATTTTGAGCACAAATTTGCCTCATGCTTCAAATGGTTTTAAGTGGCACATGAAGAGCCATACAAAGAAAATGAAATGAATATATTCCATTTACTGTGGAATGGTAAGCTCACAGCCTTCAAAAAACTAAACCATGATTCCCACCTTCATTCTTCTTCCTTTACATCTTATTCATAAGAATGATTCTATAAAACACATTCTATCATGAACAATGCTTTCCCGGCAAGGTGTCCCTGTGAGTGACAAAGATCCCATTAGATGGTCCAGCGCTGTGGCGTGCTGAGTTTCAGACTGGAAAGAATTACCTTTGTAGGTTTTCTGCTTTGCCCAAGTTCTTCAGCCCCCTGGAGTGTTCTATTATTGTGATTTCCATAAGTTTCTCTGAAATCTCCGATGCTTTGTAAACTTTAAAGATGATAGTTTTCAAAGGGCAAGTTTTATTAGAAGCCTAGAATACACATCTGTCATGTGCTCTAATTTCTCAGATCATTTTCTGAGGGCTTTGAAGTGTATTTATACTTTAAATATCATTGTATGCTTGGACAGCAGTGAGTGGGTTTTATGTAGCTTACCAGATCATCACAATAGCAGAAGGAAATTTTGATGTCTTCTTACAAGAAAATAATTAAAGGTGAATGAATGTATGCATTTGTCTCAACTGTGTGCTCTGACAGGAACGCTCCGATGTGGCCTCCCTTGCTTTGAATTAGCCATCTCACAGCCCCCAGAAGCCCGTGCTGCGTTAAAGTCAGGCAGTGAGTGTGCCCAGGTGACACTGTCCTGATGCCACCATTTCGTTCCTAAAGTCTAAAGAAAATGAAAGAGACTGGAGCAATTGATACAGCCTAACGGGGGATCAGAGCTCCACAGAAAAATGGACTAAAACCAAATCCAATTTGAGGTTTTGATCTTTTAAGATTTTAACAAACAAAGGGGCTGGAGATCTAGTTTCTAAATCAGTTATTTTGGAAGTATCAATTCTGCCATATTGTGAGGACAGGTTCTCTTACAGAGGAACATCTTAAACTGAATCCAGTCAAACTGGCTCTGGTGTGGTAACGGGGGAGAGACCCCCCCCAGTAGGACCCCAATTATTATTTATCAATATGAGTGTTCGATAAATAATTTTCATATAATGAGATGAATTTCTGGACCCCTTTTTATATAAATACAGAATGTGTCTGTGCATTACAGGGGTTGGGTTCTTTGGAAGATTGTAACTGCATTTCATATTTGGAGAACTGCTGTCATTTCCATGGACTT